GTATTATTATAATCCACTTATCTTTCCTATCTTTACTTACGTTGTCCATCTTTCCTTATATTGTCAAAATTTATCTAGAAAATACTTGAATGATTCCTCACCTAGAAATAAATATTGGGCTAGGTTCTCTGGCGTTTATTCTGTTGCAAAAGTTAACCTTATGGAAAGACAATTACTATCTTTGTTGGATTATGACCTTCGAATACATAAATCGGATCTAGATTTACATCTTGGCCCTTTAATAAAATTAATGCCTCGATTTAATTTCAATATTCATACTTCAGCAAGACCCGATCCTCCTCAAAGAGTTCCTTCTCTAAAACATCATCAAAGATCGGCTTCTCATCCCGTTAATAATCTTCATCAAAAAACTTCTTATCCACGTCTTCAAATATATACTTCTTCTCATGGTAGAACTCCTCCAAGACGACAAACCTCGTATCAGTCACGTGTCTTGGCTTCTCCCTTTTCTACTCTTGATATTGACATGAATACTTTATCAATACCTTCCTCTTCATCTTCATCTTCCTCCTCTTCATCTTCATCTTCCTCCTCTTCTCCTTCTCCCTCCTCTTTCTCCTCTTCTTCTTCCTCCTCCTCTAGTTTCTGCAATAATAATAGTCTTCATAATCCTACTACTCCACAATATCTAACTTACTTTGATGAATTCTTTCCAATGGAAACCGATGAAGATAAAAAAGATATAATGATGAATTTAGAGTTTGGAACCGCTCTATAGTGAACCAAGCCTTCCTTATCAACCAGTATCAAAATCGGTTCACCTGTGTTAAAAATTTTACAACTCGGGTTAAAACGGTTGGATATATACACTGGACTCTATATGTGCGTTCGTCAGTGCACGTAGTGCTTACAGTAGTGCTTACAGTAGTGCTACAGGTAGTGATAGTTATCATGGGAACAGTACCTTTCACACTTACAGTATTAGTGGTCATGGGAACAGTACCTTTCGCACTTACAATATTGGTGGTCATGGGACAGTACCTTTCGCACTTCTAGTGGTGGATCGTGGGAACAGTATCTTTCTATAACTTTTAAATTGTAAAGTTATGATCTTAAATTTTTTTAAAAAAATAAACAATAAAATATATGTAGATATTGTATATAAATTTTATAGTTATTTAAATCATTATTACAAAGTTAAAGTTGAATTTTTAGAATTTTTTTTTTTAAAAAAAAAATCTTTAAAAAAAATAAACTTAAATAAAAAATTTTATTTTAACAAGTTCTAAAATTAAAATTTTATAAATTTTATTTATAGTTTTATAAATTTTCATATTTGTGAAAAAATTTTTATTTAATAAAAATAAATGCTTCTATTATTACGTAGTTATTCTATATGTAAGGCTATACAAAGTACCGTATTTTTCCGAAATTAAGCATTCCTTTTTACACGTAATGCTGGCCACGATTTTTTAAAAGACAATAATATAAAAAATTAAAATAATATTATTAGATTCAATATATCAATATATTTAGGCCAAGCAAAATCAACTCTCTTTACTAATTTTCTGTACACAAACTTGCAAGAAAATATTTCAACAAAGTATATAAACAACACTAAAAAATCCAATCTGAAGTTTTAAAAAAAAAGAAACACACAAAATAATATTTAGTTTTTTTAAAAATTTAAGTAAAAAAAGCAAAAGTAGCAATAATATAAAAAAAAAATTAAATTTTGGTTAAAATTTTTATTTACTGTAAATTATTTTGGGAAATTGGGCTTGACCTCATAATATAGATCTATTGTTGTTATACAAGAATTAGAATATATAATAAAAAATAAATATAAGAAAAATATAAGACCCATATAATAAATACAAATAAAATAATATAAACAAAACATATTAAATATTAAATTTTTGATTAAATACAATCTTTAAACTCTAATAATTTTTAATTTTATAATAAAAATAAAATCTATTCTAACAGAATTATAGTTTAAATTAAAGGTAACAAATTTGTAAGGTAATTTTTTTAAAGTTATTAGTTTTTGAATTATTAATATTTTTATATTTTATATATAAAAAGTAGATATTTTTTGCTATCTAGTATTATAAAAAAATTTTATATAATTTTTATTAACCTTCTATTTTATTAAAAATTTTATTAAAAAATAAATATTTTAGTTTATACTTTTTAAACAATCAATATATAATTTTTCAAAATAGTTATATCAAAATAGAATATTAATTATATATTTTAAAAATATAGCAATATATAAACAATATAATAGTATATGTATTTTGATAGTTAAAAACTATTTAAATAATATTTTAAAACTATTAATTTAGTTTTAATTTTTTTGTTTAGTTTTTATTATTTAATTATAAAGTTTTTTATTTTAAAGATTTTTGTTTATACAATACCAAACAGCAAAAAATATCTAATTTTTTTTAAAAGCACTAAATTTTGAGATTTATACTCAAATCTGATTGGCTATTTTTGTATAACAAGATTCTGATTGGTTGAAAATCTATAAAAACAATTTTTTTATATATTAAATATCAAATTTTTGATTATATAGTAACTTTAGGCTTTAATAACTTTTTAAATTTATAATAAAAATAAAATCGATTCTAACAGAACTGTAGCTTAGGCTAAAAGCAACAAATTTATAAAACAGATTTTTTAAAATTTATTTATTTGTTAGATTACAAATTTTTTTTTTCCTCTATTGGCAGTCTCGCCGGTATTTTTATTAGATCAAAGCATATATAATTACATATAATTAACTATCTAAGTTACAGATCCAACATCTCTCGGCTGCCCCGAAGTGTGTCCAAGAGCAGTCTGCCTCACCAGTTAAGGCTTCTGCCCATACTGGAGGGCTATACCAAGCTAGCCATTAAAGCCATACCAAAACGGCTTTATATTATTCACATACCAGTTTTTAACTGCAACAAATCAGAATTTTTCTTTTTTGTTTTTTTTCTCCTCTTTAGCTTTTCCTACTTCTTTCTTTTTTACTTTTCCCCTGGTTTGGTCTTGATTCACGACCGAAGCCCCCGTAGCTTCTAACATTTGTTCTGTGCTGGGCCTTGGGCCCTCCGATTTTAGCCTTTTTCCTTTCTTCCGTTTCGTATTGATTCCTTCTCTCTTTTCTCATTCATTAACTGCTATGCATCTTTGCTTCCATATGTTTTTAAACAAAAGTTCCATGACAGGTTTACTATCGCCTCTAGATAATTCTTTACCTCTTTTAGTGGTTTAACAGCACCGACAATCTTTCGAAAAGTCTTTTCTTGAACTAAACCTTTGAGAATACCAGCTCTTGTCTTGCTTTTTTCCTCTTTCGACGGTCCCCAGAACAAGGTCCTTAGGCTTTCTCTGTTGAGACGACTTCTTGTTTCTCTTGAGATATTTGTCTATGCTAAGTTTGATATGGTTTGTTCTAATTCTCTCCACTTTTCCTCATACTTCTCACATCTAATTAGATGATCTTGATCTTCTTCTTCATTTTTCCCATATACTATACAGAATGGGTTCTGATATAAATCTGGTCTTCTGTTGACTAACGCCTTGAGGACTGGTAGCTTTTCGTGAAGACACTTCACTAGAATACCGAAATGCTTGTTTTTCTTTTGACTTGTACATCTGACTCTAGATTGGCTTTTCAATTTCTTCCATAAGATAGGCCAATGGTATATATTTGTTGCATCTTCAGGTTTCTCCTTCTGTATTGCTAATATTGATCTCCAGTCTATGCCAGTTTGGAAGTTAAGAATTGTCTGTATGAACTGTTTGA